ACGCTTAATTAAAACGCTACACATATGGATAATGGCTTGCAATAATTAATGGCTTGTGTGACGATGGCTTGCATGCTCTTGAAGGCAAGTGGGAATTGTCCCACATCGGAAATATCAAGCGACTTCCAAGTTTATAAAAGATGTGAGGTTGAGCTCTTCAACAGCGTGTGAGCGAACGGTACATGGGGTAACACGTGGTTATATATGAATGTGGTACTGCAGTCCAATAATATCGAAAATTACCTTTATTTTTAAGACAAATATCCCAATTACCCTTGGAAACATCATACATTCCGAGACATGACGTCACCGTCCGATTCTATACAATGAATAGGCAACCTTGCACGTGCGCACGTGTGAGCGCGTACGGACGAACGAGAGCACGTGCGTGAACCGGCTGAACCTGATGGGAACCGGCGGTTCTCTCCAGAACCGGGCGGTTCCCGGTTTATGATGGAACCGAGTCGAACCGGGCGAGTCCGGTTTGACTCGCCGATTTTTAAAACACTGCAAGAGGCCATTCACTTTACAAGGAGGTAGATACGATAAATAAATAAAAGGAACAACATAAACTACCCTTTATCCAATAGTCGATTCTAGATTGACGGTTAATATGCCCCAATCACAATGTCACATTTCTACATGATTTTATTTTTAATATTTTTCTACAAATTATTTTGACACCAAATTTTTGAGCATCCAATCCTCTCTTAAACCCACACTTACAAAAAATATAAAATAAAATTCTCCTGAAATTTTCAAGATGTATTTGGTTATTACATCTTATCAAATTTTTCTTTTAAATATTTTTTTTAAGTGTGCCAATGAGAAGATGACACTCACCAAATTTCATATTCATACAATCTGTATAAAAAAAACTAAAAATAAAATACTATGAGGCGTCGGATTTAGATCAAATGGTGAGTAGCTCACTTGATCAAAATTGGACAGCTGAACGATAGGAAAAGCATAGATCTTCTATGTTGTAGGGAACTATAGAAACATTTCCCTTTAAAAAAAAAAAACTTGTAACTGAGGGTATATTAGAAATAATCTAAAAAAATAGAAAAAAATAAAAATAAGTATTTATGGTCAAAACAATCATAAAAATATATATTATAAATAAATATCTTATGTTTTGATATTTTTAATATATCCTCGAGTGGGACACCCAACTCGGGAAAACTCGGCTCGTCAAGGCACTCGGACCAAGTAGTCAAACGTTGGTCAAATCTGATAGCTTAAAAGTATCGCACAATTCAACAAAATTTATTTTGAGATTTATACTCAATAAGGCGCATTCTAAATGTTTATGTGAAAATAAAACGCATATTTTTGCTGATCTTTTCACAAAAGTCCCAGTTTTATAAGTTTTTGAAAAAAAACTCTGTATTTTTTAAAAAGTCGTGTTTTAAACGCCGACTTGCTAACTTTGGTCAAAACATGTCTAGTGATATGAAGGAGCCTGAAAATGGGCTTAGGATTATATGGTCAGGGTGGAGGAACCCCACAATATGATGTCTTGAGCCCTATTTTTGCCATTGGTAAGCGATCCATCCTTAGGTGAACATCAAAAAAAAAGTAAGTATGCCATCCCTTCCTGGTTAAACTACCGGAAAAAGATACAAAGGAACCGAATTAAGCCAATTGGTGGCTTCTCTCATGTGCTTATTTATGATGATTGATTGCTTAAATCTCATTTGGAAGCAAATCCAATCTAAAAGAAAATACATCCACTAGTTTTAGAAGTAATCCAATCGAATTGAAGTACACTTGATTATG